TATTAGAATGTTTAAAGGAGTGGACACGAAAATCACGGGAGCGAAACACATGTTGCGGGAGCAGGCGGCAATGGACCGAGATTCAGCGGGGATTCAGCAGATTTTTGTAGGTCCAAAAGGAGGACATGTCCGGGGAAAAGAGGACGTATGTGCACCCTAGCTTTAGGCATTTTAATTTAAGAATGTTTAGCTTAGCTAGCTAATGGAATCTACCTGCTGCCATCAGAGCAAGTGTAATTACTGCATTCACACGCTCCTCGGATGCTCTCATTTCCCGAGTTGTGCTTTTAAGTCGGAATGTGAAAACAATATGGACACTCGCGTTACTACAAAGATTTGTTGGATTTGTATTAGAGCTTTCCGACTTGCGTTCGTGAATTTTCTCAATCGAGAAATTATTTTTCACGTGCGGTGCGGGTGATCCTTACGTCCATATTGGCACCGGGTTTCGGTACCCAACCCTACTTGAAAACAGACTCCTAAATAGCTTCCTATCCATGTCCTTGTTGATTTGAGTTAATACGGCTATATTGATTATATGACTTAGTTTAAATTAATGGCAATATATTACTTTACTGTAAATACTTGAACAGACACAACAGAACTCACTTTTTCTCAAAGGCTTTGTGGGATGGCTTAAGGGTAGCCATGTTTTGGAACTCCACAGCCTCTCCTGCCAGACCATCCTCTCCATACCTCAGCTGGACAACTTGGTTAATGGAGTTTCTGACTGTAGCATCATACTTTACCATAACAGACTCCATAGACTTGATCAGACGACGCTGAATATAACCTGAAGAAATAGGAGTTTCATCAAAACTCATGAAGACAATATCAGGCTTTAACAAAGACTAATCTGATGACAACTGCACATAACATCTCACTTAGAGACTAGAAATGAGTATTACAATTTGAAGTTCAGATTACATTTAGTATTTGCCCTCATTACCGGTCTCAGCAGTTTTGACAGCTGTGTCGATCAGACCCTCTCTGCCTCCCATGGCGTGAAAGAAAAACTCAGTTGGTGTGAGACCGGCCAGATAGGAGTTTTCTACGAAGCCTCTACTCTCTGGACCATAGTCATCTTTAATGAAGTGAGGGAGAGTGCGGTGCTTGAAACCGAAGGGGATTCGCTTACCCTCAACGTTCTGCTGCCCCACCACAGCAATAACCTAAATGGGTGAAGAGATTGTGAAAAAAATTCAGTTAAGCCTTTAGCCTGAAAGAGGCAGCAACACGCTTTTTAACTATTTTAAGTTTTAAACACCATCTACGGTCTTCTCTCACCTGAGAAATGTTAATTTTAGAGCCTTTTGAACCAGCCACCACCATGGATTTGAAATTGTTGTACTCAGACAATGACTTCTGGGCAGATGATCCAGTCTTGTCTCGAGCATCGTTCAGAATGCGGTTGACCTGGTTCTCAAAGGTCTGTCTCAGAGTGTTACCTGGGGTGGGCTCCAACTCATTGTTGTGGGCTTTCTCAATGACCTGTGAGAAAATAAAATCATGAAGCACAACTGCATTCATGTACAAAAGCAACAATCGGTTGTATTTATAAATACCTAATGATGTCAACTTACCTCTATCACATCCTGTTTGGCTTTCTTAATCGTGTTCTGAATGTCCTGATATGTTGCCTTATCGGCAATGGAGTCTCCAATACCAATAGAGTGACCTGAAGCAGACAAGATAGTTGCAAATAAACGAATAAGGTTCTAAACTGTTTTTGTGTGCAAATATCAAGTCTTTTTTTTTTTTACCCTCAATGAGCAGCCAGTTGTTGACGACAGTCTGGATGTTAGAATAGAAGAGTCGTGTGATGTCATGGCCCATCTCAAGGTATGAGATATGGACAAGAGAGCCAGCTGAGGTTCCCAATGACTTCTTACACAGGATCCCCATGATCAGCTCACCGTTCTCCACAATCACCTGGAAAATGAGATGAATGAGAACAAAATTGCATAAACACTTTTGGCACAAAAACTACATCCACATTTGGGCTCCACTACTGCACCTTAGTGTCCCCAGGGGAGATGTGTTTGTAAGGGCCACTGTCCTCTTCATCAGGGTGAGTGCTGTGTGTGCGGATGGCATTAATGTGCCCAGGGATGATCAAGCTGAAGATCTGTTTGCCAGTCCAGAGAGGTCGCGGCTTCAAGATAGCCGGTTGGGGCACTTTGCCGTCCCATGTGGAGAGAAACATGAGGAGGTTCATCACCTCACCCTAAACAAAGCACACGAAATGATTTATTAGTATCAATGTACCATGTACCTGTACAAACTAACAGCTCATTACATTCATAATTTGGTACCACAGCTTCGTAACCTCACCCTCTCCAAGAAGACATCTCTCTTGGTGAACTTGCGCACAGCTGTCAGTGTGTCCTGCACAATACCCATGACGGGTCTGTTGGACTGTGGTGTAACAATCATACGAGGCACCATGGCCAGCTCTTGGATCTCAGCACGGGTCTCCAGGGACTGTGGCAAGTGCAAGTTCATCTCATCGCCATCAAAGTCGGCATTGTATGGGGTTGTCACACTAGAAGTGAAAGGGATTTTCTCTTTTAAAACGAAGTCAAAAACCTTTATATTAGAGGAATGGTGCTAAATCTGACCATTCGTTTTCTATACAGATTTGTAACAATTTCAGCAATTATAACTGATGATACAGCACACAAAGTCATTATATTGCCTATCCACGTATCAATCTACTAACAACATGACGGATCAAGTCTTATAAACCCAGTGCACCTGAGGTTGAGTCGAAATGTTGACCAAGGCAAGATTCGCACTCTGTGGCCCATCATAGACATTTTGTGCAGCGTAGGCTGTCTGTTGAACACAATGATGTCTCCATCACACATGTGTCGTTCAACCTAGAAAAACAAACAGGTTTTAAATGCTTTGCTCACTGTAACTGAAAATTCCATTCCATTCTTACATTAAACACAGAAAAAAGACTGACTTTGTATCCAATCTGAAGGTGAAGGTCACTTGGTTTAGGGTGGAATCGCAGGTCAATTCTGTCCCCGTTGTCTCGGATGATATATTTGGCTCCAGGGTACTGACTGTTACCTCTCCTCACAAGCTCTTGGAGTCTGTAAAGTTAAAGGGTGGGGGGGGAATAAAAAAATAAGAAAAATAATTTGAGAGCACTGGGTTAAAGAGACCTCTCAAAGAACACTAAAATATTTTGTAAGTGAGATGCATTCAGAAAGAGATAAAAACGACTAATATTACCTGTCAATGTTAAAGGGTGTGACAATCTCAGGGAAGGTCATGTTTGCGGCGATGGAACGGGGAACGCCCACCTGGTCGATCTGCAGGTTGGGGTCTGGCGTGATGACAGTTCGGGCGGAGAAATCTACACGCTTCCCCATCAGATTACCTCTGACACGTCCTTCCTTACCCTTTAGCCTCTGCTTGATAGATTTTAGTGGACGACCAGACTTTTGCATTGCCTGAATCAAGAGCATGAGAGAGCAAAATCTTCATTAATATTTTCCTGATTGTCCCACTCTACATAACTGCAGATCAAATATCAAATGTTTTAACTGGCTGCACCAGGTATCAATGTGTCATGCAGCAGCTTTATTTTGTGTACCCTGAATTTTTCCACAATTGCATTTTATTATAAATGCATTAATTAATAATCAAAAAATGCATTAATTCTTTACAAATGCATTTTATTTTTATTCAATACAAATTCTATAACAATTGTATTCAATGTAAATTCTATAACAACAATAATAAGAACAATTAATTATTGATAAATAATATTTAGTAGTAGTAATTTTTTATTAAATATTGAATTATTAATATTATCACTGTTAATAAGAGTATAATTGTTGCTTCTCATAATATCCTGGACTCCGATCTCCTAAGGTATAGTGTAAATCTTACCCTAGGTAGACCTGGCAGTTCATTGTCTACCATTGTGGCCACGTGGAACTGAAGCAGCTTGACATCCTCTGCTATAACATGCGCTGCAGCTCCACTCTGCTCATTTCGCTTCAGCTGGTTATTGATCTTTACAATGTCAGCCAACTTGTGTGTTAAATCATCCTAGAAAAAAAAAATAATAATACAATTGATACAAATCTAACAGCTATCAGTGCTACGCAATACATCAAACTTCTTTCCCACTGTTTAATAAGAAATGTTATGCTTACCTGGTTTCTAGCAGAGCCCTGCATGACCACAGCCGGTCTCACAGCAAGAGGAGGCACGGGCAACACAGTGACAATCATCCACTCAGGACGGGCGTATTTGGGGTCCATGCCCAAGATCATGTCCTCTTCATCCGAAATGCGTTTGAAGATCTCATGCACACGTTCAGGATTGAGAAGAATCTTCTTCTCCTGTGAGTCTTCGTTCACGTGCTTCCACTCAGCATACAGCTCCAGGCCAGAGCGACGGATACGTGGCTGGTACCTGCCACAGCCTCCATGACCCTTGAGAAATAAAAGTTAAAAATCAGTTTTAAAACTTCCAGAGCAAGCTGGAAAGTTTCAAATTGGCCTGTGTGCTTAGAGAATTTTAGGTCTGTACCTTCTCTTTGGTGAGGTCTTCTTCAGTCTCCTGCTGCTCCACACCAAACTTGTTGTCCATCTCCTCTCCACCCTCACAAATGTTTTTGCCTTTACAGAGGTCATAGACGTGGGTCAGACGCTTACGTGGCTGCCCCTTCGACTTGGTCAAGATATCTTTGATTTTTGGATTGTTCTGGGTAAAACAAAATTAGAAGTTAAAATACACTACAAAACAATTTGACCAAAGGAACTAGATCAGAAGAACAAGACAGAAAGAAATTAACAATGGAATAAATCACAAAAGGCAAACTGAAAATTCTGCATACCGCGTCCACAAGCAGTTTTGAACAGAAGAAGCAGACACATCGGAGGACCTTCATGATCTTTGTGATGAAGCCAACATGAAAGACTGGCTTAGCCAGCTCAATGTGACCAAAATGACCAGGGCACTCAGTCATGTTACCTAAATGACAACAAGCAAATAAGCAGAGGTTCAGCTTATTATTAGAGGTTCAGGGTTTAATACCCAGCAAGACGGATAAATATCAAGTTTATGAACATACCTGCACACGTCTGGCATCTGCCTGACCTTTCAATTACCCCTTGCCGGGGGTCCATAAGTCCCCCCAATTTAGGGCGTCCTCCTTCTGTGGTCTCGGGGTACTTGATGCCCCCTTCAGTAACGGACAGCCGTTTCTGAAAATGATAACAAACAGCATTAAATTGTTGTACATTTTCACAACAATGGGAAAACATTTGTTCACTAAATATACCCTCAAATAAAGTTTTTTTTTTTTTTTTTTTAAATACATGGACCGCACAAGCAACAGTAAGTTTGCAATAAGCAATAGTTCAGATGTCATCTGTCAAATTATGCATTTATAAACATTTTAATTTGAAATGCAACAAGGCTGTTTAATGGTTGTATTTATAATGGGTTTCTTTAGATTACATGTTGCTCCCATAAAACACAATAACCACCAAATGAAGCGTCAAGAGATTGCTCAACTCTGCATTACAAAAAAAAAAACTTTGAGAAAGGTGTAAGTCCTTAAAAATGACGACATTACTGAATAAAACCCAGTTACTTTGCATCGCTGTCTAAAGAAAATGCATTACAGCTCAACTTGGAAACATGCCATTTGTTCGTCATTTATTTCAAAACATAAGTGTACTTCAGAAACTGAACGTATTTGAGTTTAAATAAAAGCATGCATATAAAAAATGCACATTTTATTGCCAGTAAGGGAGACATAGGGAACAATGTGGAAACTTGGGAGAAACTCTGGGTCTGCCATGTGACTCCAAAATGGTCAAATAAAACTAAACAAATAATAAATATTACAAGTTAACATTTTATAACTTCAAACAAGGCTTTCCGTGTCTTGTTGCTAATGGTTAAAGCAGGACTCTTGTGTAGTGTTTCTTCAACTTTATAAACACATGCTCCTACTGAGGAAGAAGTGGCTAGCCGGCTAAGTTAGCAAAACACAAGTTCACAAAAGACACTGTATGTTAATATCCGTATTTAATATGATTTTAACACGATGTTGATTTGAGTAATACAATAATACTCAAAGAATTAAGACAATACCCCCTCTCAAGAGCAAAACCTACAAGTTCATCAGGGCTGAGGACGCCGAATTGCACTCTCTTGATGAGGCGCAATGGGCATGCGCTGTCGCTGGAAGGCGGTCCGTGCATCCTGTCTATTCAAAGAGACGCGTCCTCCCCCGGCACGCCGCTTTGTAAGAAGGAACACCTCTGAAACGCCACCAAGACTCTCCTGGCACCCAATGGTGACCGGAACTTGTCCGATGGCGGTTTCCCAGTGACCACCGTATCTTGCTACTCAATGTGCTTTTAAATTTGTGTTTATATACTAGCTATTGTAGCAACCAGCTATCCCCTTCCCTTTCCCCGATCTACACTCCGGTGCGCTCTAAGCGCATCTGAGAGAAAATTGCTCTCACACGGCTTTATATAGACTGTACGCTTTGCTACAGGTTTACACAGCCTACTTGGCAGGGGCTGAACAGTCAGAGGGCGGGTTATGGATCGATCTCTCTGTGCGCTTATTGGCCGCGAGACTGCAGTATATGAATAATTAATTAAAGTTGACGCAGAACCAATGGAGTTGTGCGCTTTTGATTCCTGCGAATCGTATGTAGGCGGAGGCGGGACAAAACGTATGACGAGATTCTATAGGCCCGTAAAAACCAAGGGCGGATCCGTGGGCACTTTATACATGAATATTCAATAACATTCGTCAATGTGAAACATTATTCGTCAAACGTGTTCGTAATATTAATGAGCAGAGAGCATTTGACCAATCGCAACCAACGCTTGACGGCGGTAAAATAACTTTCTTACTTCCCGCCTTCTTTACGAGCATTGCCGATTTTACTCGACTGATATTTTTTCACCCTCTGAGCAAAAATAAAAAAAAACCTGTGCTGTTCCGTCCGTCTCGCTCTGGATCAGCTAACAGTGCTGGAAAAGAAGCTCGTGTGAGAGGCCTACATCTACCGTCGAGGATTAACGCCATTATTTTTGTTTTAAATATGATTTTTATGTAATTCAAATTATTAAATTACTTTTATTTTGTACGCTTATTCATATTTCTAGAAATATTTATTATGATTTTCCTTCTTTTATTTGAGTTCTACGGGAAAATGCAAGAATCCACGAGGTCGAGTAAAAACAGTGGCTGGACGGCACGCGCTTTTTTCGGTATGATCAGCTGGAAACGCCGCTGAAAGCCTGGGCTTTCAGACAGTGTATTTTCAATTAAAACATTCGAGAAACGTTGTTTTAAACATTCGATGTTTTTTTGTTTTTTTTTTACTATTTTGAGAATCAGAACGTTATTGGACCTCACTGTGAAATAAAAAATAGAATTGTACATCTAGGCCATGTTCTACAAAAAAGCGCTAGCAGCTTACGTTTTCTGGTTAACTTTAGCGGTTTTCTTATAAATAATCGCAAATCCGTAGTTCGTAAATGATTTCATTAGATAATCTAATATAGTTTATTGTTCTCGCAGTTGTAGAGCGTAAGCAAGAATTTGTAGTAATGTAACTTGATGTTACCTAGCGACTGTTGTGAGCTTTTGCTAGTTTGTTAGCCGCCATTCTTTGTGGAATGTGAACATTAAACAGCACCCATTTAAAGTTGTTTTGTCTGAAATGTTAGTTTACATCTTTAAAATTTTAGTGTGTATATTTTGTGTTGAGTGTATATAGGTTTATATTAGGGTAAATAACAAGCATTATTCGTCTACATGGTTATGGCTTAAGTACATGATAGGTTACACAGTGTAGACCGATGGTTGTATAAAAAAAAAAAACCTTTTTGAAATTGTTCATATTGGTTCAGTCACATTTTATACTTGAATTGGTCTCTTGGTTACATATTTATATAGACACCAGAAATATCAGAATGTTATCTACAGGGACATTCATGACTTTTAGCAATTTTGACTTAAAAAAAAAATATTTGTGTTGATCTTATATATGGTCTCAAGACATAGATGTGGCTTTTTAACAGATCATGTGTTAGTTATATCACGTTCATGATAGCCTGTTAGCATTGTGCTTGGATGGCTGTGCATGTATTTACATTAAAAAGATGAGGTTCTCTAATGTTCGAATCGTTTTCCGATTATATAATAAACATATCATACCGATATCTTAAAACAGAAAGATGATTTATAGCCGAAAAGAGTTAGTTCATAGTGTTCATATCTACGAAGCTAATCGGATAATGGAACAAGAGCTTGGTTGTAACTCGTATCAAACCAAAATCGACTTCTTTGAAACCACATGTATCGGGAAAATTGGCTTAACAGTCGGCTTTTGTGGATAAATATGAGTTATTGGCTCTGGAAAATGCTTTAAACCGCTTTAGTCCCAATACGTTTACAGTCAAAACCTCATTGTTCTTTAATGTGGATATATGTTGTCTCAAAGTCTATCTGAATCGGTCTCCTCGCTTAAATCAGATCCTTGCTTAGAAATAACCCCAAATGAACATGGATTTTCAGGGATCTTTTCGTATATGGCGGGTACAGTGGCGGTGAGATGAACAAACATGGAGTCTGGTGCTTGTGTACTTGGGCGGGTTTACAGGGCAGAAGGGAAGCGGAGTTGCGTAACTCCAGACTAAAGTGAAACGAGCCTGAGCTAGCTAACATTAGCATTATGTTAACGTGAAAACCTTCCACAAAAACGAAATAATTGTGACGCAGGTATTAAATTGAAGGCGGTATCTGGGGGAAAAAGCTATATATTTGTCTCAACCCGCCTAAAATAAATAGGCGGGCTGATGGTCGTTTACTTTGGTCGGTGCAACATGGAGGCTGTTTTCTACAAACAGATGTTTTTCAGTACGAATGTTGAAAATCTCAGTTACATTTCTCTCCAACAAAGTTAAGCGTAATGACGCGTAATACAGTCTTATTTGTTTAAGGGATAGTTCACTCAAAAATAAAACTTCTATCACCATTGTTTAAACCTGTATGACTTTCTTCTATGGAGCACAAAAGATGTAAAAAAACAAAACAAAAAAAAAGGGATTAACGTTACATGAATGAAAAGACGCAACAACATTGATTCTGCTTTACATCTCTCTTTGTATTCCAAAGGTAAATCTAATTTTTGAAATCACGTGCGAGTAACTGGGTGAGCTGTCCCTTTAAATTTGACGTTGTAATGTGAGATTTTGCTTCAAGTGGCTTACTAATGTGTTTTAATGAACGAGTAGGTTTTCATCAACAGACTGTAATTTGGACAAGTTTGTTAACTCTAAATGGTTTGAAATCTTCTCTTATGACATTCATGTAAGTATTTTGCGTGTAAATAAAATATTTGCATTGCATTCAAATTCTTGGGTTCACTTTTTTTAAAGCCTACCTACCTGAAAAGGTCTGTGTGTTTAAATTAGATTTATGTGCCTGTATTAAGTGAATCAAACACTGAAATAACAGGGATGTACTACGTTACCTTTTCAAGTACACGTTGCTTTTTGTCTGTTTACGTGAGCAGAGGTTGTCTTCTATGCATTTCAAACCGAGCTGCAGCACCACCTTGTGGCAGGCACACAAAAAATACAGTTACGCAATTGAGTACTTCAATTATTTAGACTTCCTCTTTGGAACACTTTCACTACAGCCTGCGTTGAAAAAAACTTTGGTCCGTGCGTTTTAACATAACTGTAAATCCTAATCACTACATAGCATTTGTTTTAAACCTTTATAAAGGTTCTGTGGAATTTAACACTATGGACAAAAATATAATTTTTGTCAAGACTGGTCTTTAAGAGGCAAGCCATTAACAAATAACTTATTATTCAAAGGGCTTTTTGCCATTTTTACACGTTGCAAATCAATTTAGAAATATGGTTCCTTCAGGAAAACATACAGACATTTCACAGCACTTAATATTTATAAACAATAAATTTGTATTAAACAACAGTGGGTGCATATACACGCATAATAAATATTGCTGTGCTCTTCCAGAAATTAGAGCAAAACTATAATCTCACTTTGATACCAAACAAGAAAGGATTAATAACACAGGCTTGCCAGATATTACCCAAAATTTAATAACACCTTTAATACCACAATTGGTGTTATTGGATTATCTCCTGTACAGTTTTTTTCATGATGTAGCCATTAAAGGTATATGCTCAAATGTTACATTATGATCGTGTTACAGTCATGTGTAAATGCAAGAGATTCTGAGAAACTTGTCAAACTACAAATCAGAGGAGAGACATGACCACTAGATGGAAGCTCTGAGCGCAAAACAGACACCGCTGAATGCTCGTCTTCCCAAAGTCTGTCCGGATCTTCCTCTTCCAAGCCGAAGCCACAATCAAGCAGAAAATGGGCTGTGCTTTGATCATGAGTTCTCAGGGAAGCCCTGTTGTTACAGTTCAGTAATCACAAGGCTCCATAAGTAAGCTTGTTTGGTGAAGAAAAAAAATCACATTTACCAAGCAATGTAATGATACGTTTATAAGATGGTAATGACCGTGAATGGTAAAGTAAGTTTTACAAAATGAAGCTCACCAAGCAGAAATGTTTCTAAGCCTATATTTTAATCATCAAAATGTTTTATTTAAGACCAGTGAGAATTAACACAACATATCATTATAATGACTATGACAGATAAATTGCTAAATGTTAAATATTGAGAGTAAATAAAATGGAGTGCTAAAGTAATTACACTAAATAGCACTTCTCACTTAAATGATAGTTTGTCGCTGATTATCCCAAACACTTATCATCCCAAGTGTGGATCGCAGAAATTTCATTGACATTCCGGCAGACCAGGAATGGTTGTAACATGGGTGAGTTGTAACACCGTGTTCACTAAGTTCACCCCTTAGAAACGGAAATTACTATCATACATGACCACAGTGGAGGATACACTCTTAAAGGGATAGTTCACCCAAAAATGAAAATTCTGTCATCATTTACTCACCCTCATGTCGTTCCAAACCTGTATGAGTTGCTTTCTTATGTTGAACATAGAAGAAGATATTTTGAAGATTGCTGGTAATCAAACAGTTGGTGGTTGCCATTGACTTCCATAGTAGGAAAAAAAAATACTATGGAAGTTAATGGCAACCACCAACTGTTGGAACAACATGAGGGTGAGTAAATGATGACAGAATTTTCATTTTTGGGTGAACTATCCCTTTAAAGTTTCCATAAGGATGTTTTTGCAGTGATGCCATAGAAGAACCATTTTAGATTCCACAAAGAACCAAAAATGAAATGAAAACTGGTTTTCATAGCATTAATAATAAGAAATGTTACCTGAGCACCAGAGCAGCATATTAGAATGATTTCTGAAGGATTGTTTGACACTAAAGACTGGAGTAATGGCTGCTAAAAATTTAACTTTGCCATCACAGAAATAAATTCTAATTTAAAATATATTAAAATATAAAACAGTTGTAATAAACAGTTGAAATTGTAATTATTACACAACATTTTCTGTTTTTACTGTTTTTCTTTTCTTTTTTTCTTTAAATGCAGGCTTGGTGAGCACAAAAATAAAAAAATCCAGTAAATCCAAAAAATGTAAGTATCAAAAAGTTATAGAAGTTTAAATTTACTGTAAAGAAAATGCACTATACTAATTTTATTTTATTTTATATACAATAAATATTTTACATAACAGGTTTTACTCTAAAATTGGTATAAAATTAAAGCCTTATGTCTAAATAAGTTATGTTCCAAATTTGAAGTTGATATGAAAAAAATGGAGGTTTCTGTGAGATTTTATTTAGGGCATTATACCACAAACAGCCACCGGGTGCCATCCATCTCCATGGGATTTTTTTAATGCATTTTTTCTGTCACAAATGTCTATATTTCTCTGTCAATATTACTTCTATCTCAAAATAACCACCAAATATGGAATCCTGAGACTCAGACCTTTCCAATGATATGTTTTTTGTCAAGATAATAAAAAGGTTTGATTCTAAAAGACCGTAATGTATTTTGTAATATGACACTTGACACCGCACACCGCCAAAAGATTTTAAAGTACCATTTCCATGGTAAGGCAATGTCTGATTTCAAAATGAATCTTGGGCTTCTAAGCTTTCAAATGATATATAATTTATGATGATTACTAAAAGATCTGATAGAGAAAAAGGACAACAACAAAAAAGAGCGCCAAGCGTCCTACAGGTGGGATGGTGACAGTTAAGGGGTTGGCATAGTTCACCAAAAAAAAAAAAGAAGAAGAAAATTCTGTGATCATTTACTCACGCTCAAGTTGTCCAAACAGTTTCTGCTCCCCATTGATTTCCAAAGTAAATTTTTTCCATATTATGGAATTCAATGGGGACCAACAACTGTTTGTTTACTCAAGGTACTCCAAAAAGTTTTTTTTCTTTTTTGTTCACTAGAAGAAAGATACTCACACCGGTTTGGAACAACTTGAGGGTGTGTGAAAAAAGCAACAAATGCTGAGACTTCTCACACTGAAAAGACCTTTGATAGGTTGTTACGACCCTTTATTTTTGAAATGTGCGAGTTCTTTGACTTTCAACAAAAGTTTATTACAATGATTAAAGGTATGTATAAACAAGCTAAAGTAAGAGTGATGGCTAATGAAAATATTTTAGAAGCCTTTTAAATATTGAGAGAAACAAGACAAGGGGATCCATTATCTGCTTTCTCTATAGAACTGTAATACAAATAAAATGTCTTAAAGTCGAGGAAGACGAACATAAAATTAAAACTGTGACTGTAATATTATTAAGTTTTAGCTTATAGCATAGAAGCTTATCCATATATAAATACATTTAAATAAGACAGGAGTACTGCAAATAGGAGGCTATTTAGAAAAAGCATGAATTCAAGAGGGTGTCACAGTCACGCCAGGCTCTCGCTCCTCACTGACTCAGACCTCACGTTTCCCAGAGTTCTAATCACACACACATGTCCCTTGTCAGCACTCATCAACACCCCTACAAAGACACATGCACACTGTCATTCACTGTCTGGCCTTGTCCAGAGAACACAGACTCTCTTACCTTGGGAAACTGTCCATAACTCCTTGGATTATCTCTGATGCTGCCTCCTTTTCCCAAGTCGAATCTCCTGGTCTCCACGACGTGACTGCTCCTCTGTGTGTGTTCCTGGAGACATTGAACTGCTACATTCAAGTCACTATTCAGCCTATCATTCTAACGGTCATTACTCACCTGCATCGTGTTGATTTCATCTGCCTTCAGTGAACTTAACATTGGTTGTTCCTAATTCTGTGTATCGTGACAGAGGGACTGAAAAAAAAAGTCATAGTTTTAGTTATAGTAAAAGCTTCAAAACAAAATAGAGAAATGGATGGTTGGGCAATTCCCAATATTTAAGAAATGTGAGAAACAAATAGACAAAGAATGAGAACAGTGTTTTAAAGAAACATTCAGCACTTAATCTCCATTCTGGCAGGAATATGCTTGGAAGACGACACCAGAAATCATACAAGTATACAAAGTTACTCCACAGTGTTCGGACAGTGTGTGTTAAGACAAAGGGCTGCCAATCATACATGTGTATATATATATATATATATATATATATATATCTTAATTCATGTACTGTAAGCTGTTACAAATATTTTAGATTGGAGCTACACAAATAGAGCAAATCATTTATTACAATATAAGAACATTTTTTGGTATATGTCATGTAAATTTAAAACAGGGATGAACTGACAATCACAGCATTTTAAGCAACATCAACACACTGCAGGAAACAGGAAGTATATAATTAATATCATATATTAACAGTATGAAAAAACGAAGTAAAAATTAAATATTGAATAATTAAATATATATTTTAAAATAATTAAAGGAAATTACAACAAAAAATGGGTAATAAAGGAAAAATATTGCAATAAAAATGGAAAATTAGAACAATTGCAAAGCAATAGTCATAACAGAATTGTACAGTTTTTTGTTTTAACTCTTTTTATTGATGCTATTCGATCAGAGAGATACAAAAATGAAAGACAATAGAACAACAATTGTTTACCAATTATCACCGGCAGCCATATCACCCTGTAGCCCAAGACTGGTTGCCCACTGAAGCTAAGCAGGGCTGAGCCTGGTCAGTACCTGGATGGGAGACCTCCTGGGAAAACTAGGTTGCTGCTGGAAGAGGTGTTAGTGAGGCCAGCAGGGGGTGCTCACCCTGTGGTCTGTG